ATCTGCAAAAATCAGAGATGAGATTCTGAGGCCACTACATTCAGTCATTCACTCATTCACACACATTCACACACTGGCGATGGCAAGCTACATTGTAGCCACAGCTGCCCTGGGGCGCACTGACAGAGGCAAGGCTGCCGGACACTGGCGCCACCGGGCCCTCTGACCACCACCAGTAGGCAAACATGGGGTTAGTATCTTGCCCAAGGATATTTGGCATGCAGTCAGGAGGCAGACTGGGATCGAACCACCACCGAAGAATAATCAGGAACCAGCAAGGCTCAAGCCTCCCATGAACTGGAAACTGCTGGAATACCAGCATCACTGTCCACAGTGAAGTGAGTTTTATATCACCAAGGACTGGGAGGATTTCAACCAAGAAAGAAGCACACCTTCAAGGTCGAGGCCCACAGAGACGAGCCAAACGCCTTCTGGGGAAAATGTGATGGTCAGACGAGACAAAGATTGAGCTGTTTCGCCACAGTGAATAGAGGTGTGTTCGCAGGAGTAAAGGTGAGGCTTTCAAACCTAAGAACAGTGTAGCAAATGTGAAGCATGGTGGTGGTAGCATCATGCTCTGGGGCTGTTTGCTGTGATACCGGTACATTAGAATGGAATAATGAGTGATTGAGTGTTCCCACAGGATGATGATTACAAACTAGAGATGGACCGATCCCGATATTACGTATCGGTATCGGTCCGATACTGACCTAAATTACTGGATCGGATATCGGAGAAAAATAAAAAATGTAATCCGATCCATTAAATATCACGAAAGCACCTCACAAAACTTGCAACACACCGTAACTCACCTCAGAACGTTAGCACGTCGGAGCAGTATGCATCACGTGATAGAGTGGCTGTGGCATGCCGACCTGTCAGTGGTCTGGATAGCATTTGGAGCTTCGCTAGCAACCCGGCATTTCATCTCCGACAAAGTTATCCCAAGAGAAGTAAAGCAAGTGTGTAAGTCCATCTCTGAATGTTTGTAAAGCATTCCTGCGTTAAGCTTAACAAGCGATATATGGAGCGACTGCCTCTTCTTGCTGCTACTTCAATCATGAAACTGCTTAACGATCAGCTGATCGGCTTTTCTGTCAGGAGTCCGTGTCTCTAGTTTGCTTTTGGCCCACTTTGCACCAGAAAGAGGAAACTAGCGGATAAACAACAGCAGCACGTTTAAGCTTGATCAGCTGTTGTTAGAATGTATTTAATATTACTTTCTACTCGAGGATCTTTTTCTACGTAGCTGACGCTGGTAACTGTGCAGGGGCGGATCTAGCAAAGTTTAGCCAGGGGGGCCATTAGGGCATTAACAGGGAAAAGGGGGCACAAAGACATACTTTTCTTTCTTATTCTCATTTAAAATGTCTAGCTTTTAATAAATAATTATCTTACACCCAAAGTTTTAATTTGATGTAAAATGAATAGAAGTCAATTACTGTATATAGTAACTATTAAGTCTAATATATATACCCTAGTAAGCTATAGTACTTTTTCCTTTGGGAAGGTACCATCTGTGCAGTCTGCAATTTTGTTGAAGAAAGATGTTGAATCTATTTAATATTTCTTGAAAAATAATTGATTTCTGTGCATTTTTTTTCACACTGCATCAAATTAAGGTTGATTACGTCGATTAAGCATCATGAGGTGGAGCGTGAGGGGTGGTTCCCTATTTTTTATTTATTTATTTTTGTTGTTGCTGGGAGTTGGAACCCTATTAGTTAGGTTGCTTAATATTTATGCTAAGTACTCTTTAAAATACCAGAATAGGGAGGATGGTGTAGGTTTAAGTTTATTAGATTGATCAGTATTGCTGAACTATGAAAATTTTTTTTTGCATACAGGTATAACAGAATAGCTTTAGTGTAGTTGTTGTTTTAAACTTGAGTATGAACTTATACAAAATGCAGCAAGATATTTAAAAAACAGTTTTGTTTATTAAAAAACACTATATCGGATTCATATCGGTATCGGCAGATATCCAAATTTATGATATCGGTATCGGTATCGGACATAAAAAAGTGGTATCGTGCCATCTCTATTACAAACACATCAAATCTGAATTTGGATATCTGGAAAAGCAAGCTAACATTAAGCTTCTGAAGTCCCAGCCTCAACACTATTGAAAATTTGTGGGTCTGTGCCAGGAAACCAATTCTGCCAAGAAGCGTGGTCAAACATGCAGCCAGAATTATGAGGCTGAATGTCTTGACTATGATTTGAAAACCAAACTGGGGTTGTTAGTGGGAATGTCTACATTGTCAAAGGCGACACATCAGGTCAGAATCATGACTGGGGAACACCATGCATTATTAAAAACATGCTACATCAGCAGAACTACCACTTATCGCCCACCCCACTCAACAAGTTTGAAAACTTTCTACTTTGTCTCCCTCTCCCAAATTAAATTAAAGATTAAGGGTAGCTGTTTTGACCACATCAAGAATCAAATCAAGAGAGACATGAGTCTAATTTGTCAGTATTATACTACAGTACTATATAGTGGCAGACACACTGGAAGCAGAGTGCTACCTAAGAGGTATATCTACAAAGTAAGGGCTAAATTTCAGTGAGCTAGGATCTTTAATTATTTTTTAGAAGAGTCGCAAAACTTTATAATCTCACGTCATTTTGATAACTTTATTTGATATATTTTAAATATGCAACTCAAAATGCTAACAACAAACCAATATCATCATGTACTGCTACAAATAAGTCAACACTGGGATCTACAGACATAACTTTTTATTTCCCTAGGCTCATTTTTAACTATGACAGCAGCTAATCCAGCTGATAACTGAAAAACAAGATTTTAAATCACGGTATTTAAAATCTATTATCGACTTGTAGCTCTGCTTTGTGACAATTTACAATAAATATAGATTTTATAAATATTAGCAAGCTTGCCCTGTCAGTGTAACCCTGTTAATTCTCAGTTGTCCTCTGCCCATCTTTTCTTTTTTAGATCTCTACAGCTATGATATAAAGTTTCAGCGTCTCTCATATATCATTTTTCCCTTGCTCAGCAAGGGTTTGTAATTTCTCACCTGCTGTGTTTCTGTCGGGAAACCTGGAGTCCAGCTCACAGCTCAGCTCTGCAGGCAAGAAAGGAAGTAGTACAACAGGCTGGCAGACAGACAAATATAAGACAAGTAAGTACATAATGAGATGGCAAGAGCAGTTCACCTGTACACTGACCGTGACAGCGCCTCTTCAGGTGTGTGATCTCCAGCTGCAGGCCAGTCAGCATGGCCAGGTGCTCCTGCTTCAGGAAGGTGATGCCTCTCTCCACACTGGCCACCTGCTGCTCGAGCCTCCCGGCATCCATGGCCGAACCCCTGCAGAACCTGTGCACAGATGTTGATGGCTGGTTTGTCTTTGGATTGGCTGCAAGATTTATTACCACAGCTGTTTATATTAGTGTCGCAGTTTCAATGCTGGCATTGAGTAATACTTGCAAGCGAACACTTAAAATAAGATTATATCACTCAATGATATCCATTAGTAATTATGCATTTTTCTTCATGCAATATAGCATAACTGGTGTTATATTACAATGCTTTTCTACATCATTTAAGGGTTTTTAATGCATTTCTATGCATCTGCTTCTTGGGTGATTTGACAGTAGCCTGCTCTTATTTAATATTATCAGTTTTATGAGCTTTCGCATTTCTGCACGTTTACTCAGTCTCTCATTTATCTCCATCACTGGCTGTGGCCTACCGTGATACTGAAGCGATATCCTCTCCAAAGCGTCTGTCATGGATCTCCGTATAGATTTGGCTCTTTATTTCCCGTCCTTGATGGAGCAGAAACGCAGAAAACAAAAGGCCCGTGCAAAGCGATCAGTCTGCAAAAGCGCTCGCTTGTTTTCTTCTCCGGGACGACACGAATGAATGAATCCTACTGCAGGCTGAGTCGAAACAACCTCCTCGTAACCTTCTGGTTATTGGCTATGTGCAGCGCGGTGATGTATTCACAACAAAAGCACCACGGAGTGTGAGGTTGTCGGTGCCACGGAGCAGCACCAGGAGGAGGAGGAGCTTCCTGAAATGTAACCCGCTCTAAATGCCTCAAAATTCACCAATAAGCCCACAACAGTTCATCTTTACTCCAACGTGAACAGAGTCAGAAGTGTATTTTGCTTATATGACAGCAACCCGTGCTTCATACAAGGATAGAAAAAACTGTTTCACAAAAAATTCCAATCAGCAGCATTTTCTGTATTAGATTATTTCTTCTATGTTCTGTTTTTATTGTCTTACATATCCAGTAAAATTTATTTATTTTACTCATTTAATCAATTTACCTTATTTAATTTACAGTTATGGTAAAAAGAAAGTATGCCCTTTTTATTCTTTGTTAGAAATAAATATGGTTCTTAGTATTTACCTTAAAATTAGATACATTAGGTAAATACACCATCATATGAACAGCAAAAAAGGTGCTGATTAACTGATCATCGGCAGGTGGGAGGACGTCTGTAAAAGCAGATGTCAACATTCCTCCAAAAATGATGTGAGAGACGGATGAAGTCATACAGGAAAAGATTACTTCAAGTTATTGCTGGTATGGAGCTTCTACAAGAGACTGAATGGGCTGGTGTACTTTTGTTTTTTGTAAGACCTTATTTTCAATGACAAAGAATGAAAATAATTATATCTCTTTTAAAAGCTTGGACCAAAAAAAGATGGAAAATATATATTCTGTTTAAAATTACTGTAAAGTTTCTCATTCGTGCAGATTCAGAATACTTTCCTTTTGTGTAACTCTGAATCTTTCAAAAATGATCTAAAATACAAAACAAAAAACAGCATTTGCTTTGGCAGGTGATGTTTTGTCTGACAAAGAGAAGTAACCAGTAATTGTTGCTTTAGCTAAGTCAATGTTTGCCTCTGAAATTAAAAGGAGGTAGCAGTTATATGAATATTACATATACAAAAACTGAAATAAAATTTAAGTCCACAATCAGTCACACATTTAAAGAAGTTGTCCAAAGAAAGCATTTATTATGTGCGTTGTCATTTTCACAGACCAAGATGAACCACAATGATCTTCTTCTTTTGGCTGCTCAGTCTCTCCTCTTAACCAAGCTTCAACAACTCTTTCTTATATCTCAATGGTATACCTCATCATGTTTATCCAGCTTTAGGTCCTACGGTTCTGCATATAATCTTTGTAAAAACCACAAAGGTGTTAATTTTAATATCTTTTCTGACAAATAAAAACAAAAAAGCCTTGAACCAGTTCAGCTGTTTTGTTTAAAATGACTAAAATATGATTGATCAACACTTCTAATAAACATATAGTATATTTATAAATGAAAGTATGAACTTATTTTCTATTTAACATTAACAGTTTTTATTCTGTTATAATCATCTTAATCCCACACAATACAAATATCATCAGCTAAAAGTCTGATTAATGATAATACTTAGAACACGTTATTTTCCAGTAAGCCAAAAGCCTCTGTTAAGTTTAGGTAACTTTTTTTCTGTAGAGTTTTGCAACATAATGGTTATAGAAGACACTCTTGATATCTGTGCAGAATAACCTGGCCATAAATACATTTTTTGGGGCAGGTGCAGCAGGGGAATTGTTGTCATCTGTTTCCTGTGAAATGGTTGACAAGGCTCGAACTCTTCTGGCTGCATTTCTCGTCCATGCTGGGGAGGGAAACCGGCTTACTGTGCAGGGATACCTCGTAGTAGGGACAGACTTTCAGGTGAGCAGATATAGGAGGGATGTCAGCCATATGCCACGAATCCACTGAGGAGAAGAGATGACTGAACTCCCACACCTGAAGAGAAACCAAAACAGAGTCAGGAGAAGACCAAAGGAGGAATAATTGCCATAGTATGTGATGAACTAGCTGGCTTTGTTTCTATATCTCACAAGCTTGGCTCTCCACTTGGTTCTCCCGTGTGAGTAGGTTTTCTTCTCCCAGCGGAAGGTGACCATCCCTCTCTCCTTCAGCAGAGTGGAGCACACCTGCCTCATGAGGCGGGACACCAGAGCCAGCTGGAAGAGGGACAGGCTGTCCAGGAAACTGGCCATGTGGCACAGCACCTCGTAGGGAAGAGAGCCCAAAGAGCCCCCTCTTCCTTCTGAGCTCGTGGGTGAATTGTCACCTACTAATCCTTCGAATGTTGGACGCAAGTTAAAACTCCTCAGCTCCTTACTGTACGGGAGGGAAAAAGGAGAGTGGGTGGAGTTAAAACTAAAATAAAGGAGGAGCATATGCAATAAAATCTTCCCTTTGGTGCACTCACTGCACTCAATGTTTAAGACATTAAGAGACTATTTTCATTAACAAATGAATCCTTGTGGATTCATATGAGTTGTGCTCACTTGTATGTGACGGTAGCTTTATGTGTGGAAGGATGAAACCTCCTCTGACTATAGGTGCACCCCAGATACGCGAGTGGACACCGCTGCTCGAACCAACCGCTCAGACATGTGTGGATGTCACAGTGCACATTCCTGGAAAAAGAACATGGCAGTTTATACATTCATAGCACACAACCAGGGCCATTCATACACATTTTTTTTGTTTTTTGCAGGTTGTGTCTAAAAATAAAAAGACAAAAATGCGCTCATCCACAGTTGCTTCCAGTGAGAGCTTAACACTTATTACTTTAATGCTGAGGGCAGATTTTGCACAGACACCTGACATGTGTGGCGAACTCTCGTCGGTGGAAGGTGTGACCGCAGAGGAAGGTGAAGACACAGCTGGCTCTGTTGTGTCTGCTGTTCACACTCTCCGCTTGCAGCTGCAGGTGAAGCTTCAGCGGTCTGTCCACCATCACCTCAGCCAGGGTGGTCTTCCCTTTGAAAGGAGCTGAGCGAAACGAATATGTCTGCGTTCCCACGTCAATGTAGAGCCCGTCGTATGCTTTCGACTCGCTGATCTGCAGGGAGGGAAACCAGTCAGTTGCAATACCCGATCAACTATAAACCATATAAAGGTTTTCAGACTTTCCACTTTTTTTCCTGAACTGCTTGTGTGCTTGAGCATGTTATACCTTGTGACCCATGACCTCTTCCTCTGCATAGCCCAGCAGCGTGGCTGCTGCTTCATCAGTGAGCCACTCATCTTCTTTGACTCCGAGGTCCGATGTGTCCACACCGCGAGGTTCACTTTGAACCCGTGCGGCCGTGTCGTATAGATGAACACGTCGCCTGTAGTGATAGCTGTCAGGTACCTGTGAGGAAGACAAACATCAAGCGAGTACAGTGAACAGAGAACCTTTTGTGCTTTCTGATCCTGGTGGATATTTTAAAGCCAGAATGGTCAACAGCAGAGGCTGAATAACTGTTTTCTTTCTGTTTAAAAGGCTACTAAAAGTTCAAATGTCAGCTTTAATCTCATTGGTAGGATTGCACATATAGACACAGATCACTGCTTCAGCTGTGAGAGTCTCACTAGTTTGAAGTGGGTGGAACTCATTTCTACTGAACACCAATTATGAGCACTTGAATCAAATGCAGTAAGCCACTTTAGTTTGGTGATGAAAAGTTCAGTTATTTTACTCACACTACAACTCATGGCTGTATCTCTGCTTACTATATATTATGTGACAATGCCTCTACAGTCCGTTTTATCTAAAAGTTAAAGCTTCCAGCAGGTTAAAGGACCATAATGGTGCATTTATAAGCTGCTCAGCGTATATACAGTGAGACAAAACGTGTGACGCCTCAGTACGAAGAAGAGGGAAACTTTGGGAAACTAAAAGATGGAACACACAGAGACATGTCAAATATCCAATATTCATTTTGTGCTTCTGTAAGTTAAAATAAAGCACTTTAGAAGTATGAAGTTTGTGCTATAACTGAACAACATCTGTAACATCTGTTTCTTCTGTACACCAGGATCTTTCACTGCTGTACAGAGAAAACCCTGTCATGCTGCTCAACCCTGGAGGGCTGGCACAGGATACAATACATCACAGAGGGCAGGTAATGCTATTAAGTCATTTTACAGGACACTGACATGATATTTTTTTTCTTACTTATGTGTTGTCCCATTAGCTTCCACCCCAGCAGTAGTGGGGATAATGTGATTTTGTCCATAAAAGTAATTTAAAGCAAAAAACGTAAAAAGTATCCCTCAAACGATTATCGAAGTTAATACTAGCATAAATATGATTATTGTAAGTATAATAAACCAGGAGATCGAAACTTTTTTTTAAGCAAATTAAGTCATATCACTGGTCTACATGTATTTATAAAGCAGTTTGTCTTCACACCGAACGCGATAGAGGCGGCCAGAGCGTCAGGTTTACATGTAAAGTCAATGGAAAAGCGCGATGACAGCGTACCGCGTCTGGCGCGTTTGACTCGCGAAAAAAAAACACCAAGCGTGTCAGTTTTTGTGTTGCATTTTGTGCATACGCGCATATCGCGTCAACCGCTCGAGATGGAAAAATCTGAACTCCAGCGTCAAATCGTGCCGCGACAACCAATCAGGAGCCTGGTGACGTGGCTCTGACCTGGGTCAAAGGGGCAGATCCAGCCAAAGCCCTTCATTCTTCATTCAGTATGGAGGAAAAGCTCATCAGAGCCGTGGCTAATTATCCAGAGCTATATGATGCTAGCTACTACTTCTACCGAGACAGGAATAAAAAGGACCTAGCTTGGAGGCACATAAGTGAGGAGATCGGGCAACCTGGTAAGTTCATTCATTCTTCTTTTTAATTTTCAGACTGACCCGATGAAGCCGCGCAAAAGCTAGCAAGCCCGCCTACTGTCCCGCTATTTTCCCACTGATATACAAATACCTTTCCGCTAACAAGATAATGTGTTTATTCAGAGGACATCTGCAGGAGAAAGTGGAATAGCCTCAGGGACACGTATAATAAGGAGAAGCGGAGTGGGTCTGCAGCAGGATCGGGGAGGAGATGGAAGTTCTTCGCGGTCATGGGGTTTCTGGACCCCTTCCTCACCCCGCGGGAGACAAGTGGGAATTTGGTGCGGACCGTGGAGAACTTCCCCCCCCGAGGACCAGGGACAGCCCGGAGAGGCAGCAGGGGAGTGTCAGTCAGAAGGTATGTTTACAATGAGTTAATGTAGGCAGTTAATTTATGCGTGTTGTCATATAGGAATATATTTTGTTTATTAATAAACAGTATACAGTGGTCCCGCTGTTCATCCGTCACTGCCTCGCCTTTTCGCTGATTTTTTCGCATTCTGCAGCCTGATTGACAAATCTCCTCCGTGTCGTGTCTCCTGCGCTTGCCAAACGTATCATGTTTGGTTTCTATAACCATCACGTCCAATAGAAAAAACAGCACAAAAACACTCATAACTATGACCCTCATTCGGAAATACACACCTGCACCGCGAGGGAAAAAGGCGCACAAAAGTGGCGCCTTGGAAAAAGCGCGGCATAATACTTTTACGTTTTAAAATCGACAAAGGTTTGCACTTTGAGAATCAACTTGTGAGAACTGCGACTACTGTTCATGTGCTGCAATAAATGAGAGACCACTCTATATAATTTCTCTGACTATTGTCTTCAACCTGTTAACATTTAATATTGTCTTGATAGAGTCAACTGATTCTACAGCAGAGTCATCCCCTGTTGCTTCTCCTGGCTCCCCAGTCCCTGGTCCCTCCACTCCTGCTGCTGCACCCACAGGCATGTACTAAATATCTATAACCAATCTGTTTATATCCTGTTTTTTTTTTTTGTTTGTTTGTTTGTTTTTTTCTTCAATTTTGAAAATGAAAATCTAGTAGCAGCCTTCTCATTACTTTGTCTTTTTGTGCTGTGTTTTACAGGCCCACAGAGGAGGACAGCTCGAAGGCGGTTGAGGGACAGGTCCCAGGACGGTCCATCGGCGGTGGAGCTGGCCATCCTGGAGTCCCTAAAGAGGCCACGCCCGTCTCCAACAGAACATTTTCTCCTCAGCCTTGTTCCTGCTCTGGAGAGCATGCCGCCTCAGACACGAGAATTCGTGAAATTTCAAATTCATAAATTAGTTTTTGACAACAGCACAGCTGTGTTAAATTTGGAAACATTGGACCCTAATGATCAGTAGTTTTCTGATGAGGCAGCAGCTCTCCAGGGCAGAAACAATGTTATTTTTCTCCTCCTTCTCCCTGAGGCTCTTCCACTCCAAGCTGGGTCCTTTTTATTCCTGTCTCTGTAAATAGTTAAATTTTATATTTATGTTTAATGTTTTTGTTAGTGAATTTATATATTTTTTCCAATAAACATTTGTAATGACTAATGTCTCAGTTCTACTACACAGCAAATGTTGACACACGACTTGACACAAGTAGAATTTATTTCATATTATACTAATGACAAAATATACCAATACAGTGTGATGCAAAAGTTTGGGCAACCTTGTTAAAAGTAATTATTTTCCTGTACAAATTGTTGGTTGTCACAATAAAAATTGTTAGTTAAATATATCATATAGGAGACACACACAGTGATATTTGAGAAGTGAAATGAAGTTCACTGGGTTTACAGAAAGTGTGCAATAACTGTTTAAACTAAATCAAGCAGGTGCATAAATTGGCAACACAAAAAAAGAGAAATGAAATAAATATTTAGTGTATATCAATGTGTGTGTCTCCTATATGATATATGCAAGTGACATTTTTCATTGTAACAGTGATTCATACAAGAAAATAATGACTATTAACAAGGTTGCCCAAACTTTTGCATCACACTGGTTATAGGAACACAGTGAAGACAAGTTACTTAAGAGAGTAAAAAGAGGCTAGTTTGTTTTGGAGTAGAGCTCCATTTATTAAGAAAAATTGAAAAAGACAGGAACACTCTTTAGAGGTTTGTGGGTGGCTCTTAAAAGAGCCGTTGTGGGGAAGTCACTCGGACTTCAAACAGGCTACTCCTTTGGTTGCCAAGACACAGCTCCCTACGCCGAGAAGTGGGCCATGAATTTCTCCCTCACCAGGACAGCCTCTGGAGGAGTTGTTTGCTGCTACACGACCCAGGCCTTGCAACGGCTCCACCACAGCAGGTGCCACACCCCTCACAGCAGGTGCCCCACTCTCGTCCAAACAGTGCAGAAAATTGTGGAGAACACACGTTGCTTTCACACACTTCTCTGCAATTTCAGGACGGAGCTCCATTGAGCGCCGATACAACCTCTACTGTGAGGAGAGGACACTGAAGGCACCCTCCACTCTCATCCTGGCCCTGGAGTGGAGGTTCTTCTCTAGAGGGAGGAGGCGTCCAGGGAAAGGCCTCATGAGCTCACGCCACAGCGGGAACGCTTCATCAGCCACAAAGACATGGGGCTGGGCTCCACGGTGTTCTCCACCAGGTAGAGGCTGGTCAGGAGGCAGAGTCCCAGCCCGAAGAGCCTGACCAAAGGTGGAGTTGGCCAGAATACCACCGGGTCCTCCCGTACCCCCCAACATCAATAACGCGGAAGCGATACCTTGCATCCACAACAGCAAGGAGAACCATCCGGAGCTCCACAGCAGAGAGGGAAGTTCCAGTGCTGCTGGGATCCCTCTCTGCTGTGGACCGCCAGTCTCCAGGTGAAGGCACAGCCATGAAATCATCCACTAGACAGTCCCAGATGGCCGTCGCTACCTGGGGGATGATCTGGCTCACCGTGGAGACACCAACTCGAAAACTGAACGCGATGGTCCTGAAGGAGTCCCCGGTGGCAAGGAACCTGGACAAAATTGTTTAAAATTAGTGTTATGTGTACTGCAGTTACAAATACATTATTGAAATTCCAAAACACTTTTGTGATGTCAGATTTAAATTACAAAACTTGAATCTTACATAAAACATTTTGTAATTTTAATGATAATTACATAATGTATATTAGATATAATCTAAAACAGTCTGCGGGGATTATATAGAAATATTCAACTATCCCAGAATTAAACCAGGTCTAAATAAAAAAAAGGAGTGAGTATCACTACAAAGGTTAACTCACAGTGGTCCTCATACCAGTTTGCTATCAGCAAACACCGAGAGCATATATTGATATGACACCACAGCCGTGCTATCATTGTAAACACTGATAACAGCATAAATCGAATTAAATCGGGACTTGATGAGACCTTTCGAGTATCACTAGAAATATTATACACAGTCGTCTCTGTACCACAGTTTGCTTTCAGTAAACACCGATGCATTCACTGTTAGCATAGCACATCCATGTTAGCAGTGTATAAACGGATGGTTTAGCATATATTAGCACAGGTATCAATAAAGGACTAAGTATTAAACAATTTTACTAACCTCAAGCAGATGGACAGGCGCTCTGCAGGTAGGATTGAGCGCCTGTAGTTGGTGTCTAGGCGGAGATTCTGGGACCGACGCGGGACAGCAGGTCCTCAAACTGGCGAGTGAAAGACGTGGTATCGCTGGAATCGGCCGTCATCCAGGCGCAGCTCCTGGAGCAAATGGTGAAACTCCCCAAACTGCTCACGCCTCTGGAGGACCTGATGGACCCAGGTACGGCGAGGACGTCTTTTACGCCGTTGCACTGCTCTCCACAGTACATAGAGAAGGGAGACTCTCTCTTCAAGCTCTAGCTTGACAGCTGCCATCTTGCAAAGATACCGTCTGGCACAACTTCCTCCCACATTTCCGGTTCACGCACGTCAAAATATGCAATTTTGAGGCGCGATGGATTTTTCTTGGACACGTGTTGAGGTGCGAATGTGCACGAGTCAAATTAGAGGCGTTTGGGGCGTTTTCGCTCGCGTCTATTGCGTTTGGTGTGAACACACTGTTGATTTTAACAGTAGTTTTATGGGACCTTTTAGCTACAGCTACTTATCGATCAATTAATAGTGAGTCTCAAATCAAACAGACTCTGGACTCAGTTAACAATTATCAGTTTGTTAAACAGTAACTTATGTTGCTGCAGCCCAAGAGAAGGGTTTTATTTATCTCCCCAGTCTATGCTTAGCTTTGAAGCCACACCCACAAATATTATATAAAATCAATTAGCCAAGTTTTGAAAGATTCACTTTGTTAGTGGGGTTTTGGACACATGTAACCACTAACTATATTATATATTATATACCATTAATATTTGAACATGTGACAATTGTTCCAGTCAAAATGAAGACTGGTCTGCAACCATCTGGCAACCACTGGTGAATTACCAGCCAGTTGGCAAAGATTTGTAATTCCTTTGGTCGCTAATGTATTATTATGGTATTAGTTTGAATTGAAGTGATGGAGTTGTCTTCAAACACCGTCCAGCTACTCACTTTAAAAAGTATGACACAAATCAGAAATGGAGACTGTAATTTAAAGTTCTTTTGTTGATTTTGACCTCTTTTCTCAGAAGTTTAAGCGAGTAAGTTGAAATTTAGAAGTTTTAGAAATTTTGAATGCAGTTTTTTGTGGGACAAAGAAGCTTCCATAGCAATAAGAAACCTCAGTAAATACTATATATTTCTTTTTTCCTGTAAACCTCAGCTTTGAGTGTTGGATACTTGGTAATAAGTCTGTTTGGGATTTTAACATTGTTGAGTGCAATTTGTCTTTGGTTGGAGCTTTTAGCAGCTGTTATTTGTGCTTCACTCTTAACGTTTTCATTTTCCACTTCCTGCTCTTAGTTAAAACCCAAAATCAGATGTAAAAGGAGCTCTTAAAGTCCAGTTTAGATTTTGGACTGTTTAGAACTGGTCTGAATGGTCATACACGGATGGAAATGACGTCCTAGTGGCGTCTATCCATCTATCCTCAAATGAAAAATGAGAGACGTAGTAGCATTTCTTTTCTTTTTTTTTAAGTAAGGCAACAGTGGCACTTAAACATCCTGTTCTGTCCTATTTCTGTTTTACAATAAAAAAATAAATGTAGTTTCATCACCTTGAATGAGCGCAGTGTCTGGACTGGAATAGGCTCCAAGCTGCCGTACACAAAGTCTTTCTCCCTTGGAGTACAGGCCTCGATTTGTCCAAAGGCTAGCAGCATGCGACCATGATGCACCACGTACATGTTGTACTCCTGTGGTGTGAGTTCCTGCCCCAAACGGTCCAGCACTCCCTCCTGCCACGGGGCCATCCCGGTCTTACTGGTGTCCGCTGGGGGACAGTTTTTGGCAGCAGAGCTGTCATTCTCTGCGTCTGTCTGGTCCTGCCTCTCAGTCCCTTTTGGATTTCTGCCACTCTGAGTTTTTCCCTTGTCACCAACGTTTGGGTTTTGTTTGGGGTTGTTCAGATTTTCCTGAGCGGCCTCACAGCCGCCTCTGTCCATGCTGAACATCATCTCGAACAGGTCATATTTATCTTTGTTGATGCCTGAACCTTGCACAGCACTGTTTGGTACAGTCTGTTCAGCACCACTATGCTCACAGGAGGTGTTTTTAGGAAAACCTGGAGAGAAAAAATAAATGAAATACACTTTTCAAAGAGAGAAACTGAACTTTACTGAGTTTCAAAAACATTCAAAAACAGTTGAAAATGTTTTAGTTTAATCCAGAAATATTCTGTGCTGATAGAAGTGTTAAGGATTTATTTATCACAAATCTATTTTTAGAGTACCTAAAACATGATTTTAATCTCACAAAAAATTCAATTTATTTTTAATCTCTCATGGGTTTTAGGTTTTCAGTAACTCTTAGGCAGATTTTGTTAGGGAAAGCATCTTTTGAAAAGCACCACTATTACCCACCATCACTGGTATCTTCGATTACGACACCATTGACTACTCCACCAGCTGCTGCTTCCTCTTTCATCTCATCATTTATTTCCTCCTCTTCCTCCTCTGTCAGCTCCGGATAGAGCGGCTTCATTTTTAGGCGGCTGTAAAGGTCTTTTTGATCGATTATGGCCATGGCAAGGTCCAGAGCCTCCTCCTGTCCCTCACTTTCTTTCACCAAGTTGTCCTGCAGGGCTTTGTGGCTGTGTGGGTTTGTGTCATCGGTCGGCCAACGGAGCCACTCCATGGTGCAGCACACCACGCTGGCCGGGCACACCTGGAGGTGGGATGCCCGTGAAGAGCGAGGCAGCTGAACAGGGCATCCGTACGCAGCATTGATGCAGGGCACCCTCACATTAGGGCAGAGCAGCAGGTGATCCTCTGCTTTGCACAGGTGGAAGAGGGCGCCACAGTGCAGACGGCAGGGGGTGACCGCACAGCACACAGAGGCCTCCACCCGAGCCCTGCAGCGGCGGCTGTAGCAGGAATCACAGTGGATGTGCTGCTGCATCCTGGAGGCCCGAGAACGCCGACTCTGATTTGGATCAGGAAAAAACCCAGAATGATTCAGTGATGACAAGATGTTTACAATATATGAAAATATGGCTCATTAAAGGTGCAATATGTGAAATTCCCTGGAATAAAGGGATGCTTCAGAACTCTATGTTGGTCTGGCATCATAGGCGTAACCTGTTTGCACTGCTTCTTGCTCTCATTTTAGCTCTCAATTTAGTCTTTAGATACAAACTGATAGCATGTGCTATTAGCATGCAAACTTTGGTGGATATCTCTACAACACAATACACATGATCTGTTGTTTCATAATCTGTTGTTAATTTAATAATATTTGAATCTTTTTTTAAATGAACCTTATTTTGAAGAGTACCACAAAAGGAGTAGGACATAACATGGATTAGGATACTTAGAGAAAGATATATGACAACCAACAAGACAAGACAGAGCAGGTAAAGAGAATAGGTGTGGTGTGAATGTGAGAGTGTGTGTTGAGTGTGAGGGTCCTCATTTCTCTTCAGTCCAAAATAAATGCACTTAGGATGGGTGAAAAAAGGGAATATAACAGTAATAATGATTGTAAAACTACTACAGAGACAGTCAGTCAGAGACTATACTCAGAGGACAGCTCTGGCACAAAAGGTCACTGAGGTCAAGAGTGATGGTTTGTAAGTGGAAATCTTTTCTATGGTGCGCATAATGCAGGAATTACAACTGTTACAAGTCCAGTTTCAGAGCTCTGGTTCACCCCCAGACCTGATCGGAGTCGGGGGACAGCCTCCTTACAGTATAAGTGGTTTGTTGATCATATTAAACTCAGAGGATCAGAGAATTTAACGATGAAAAGAGTGATGGGGGTTATCTCAGTTAGACTATATAGTTACTATATTCAAAAGGGGGTAGCTTGGAAAGGTGGGGAGTTCAAGTTACATGCATGCATGATTATTTCCATTATCTTTAAGATACAACAATGATAATATCATAATAATACATAGATCTATTAGAGCTAGGCAATGGGGTTGTCTAGTCTTGATAGTACAATAGTAATAACACTGTCCTTAATACCACACATAAGTCATTATAATAATGAGTGGAGGACAGTGGGATATCAGAAAATAGCATTAGCAGTGAATTATCTACATTATTCTGTATCTGAATAGACATATGTATATATGAGATGGAAGCAGGTTTGTCCATTGGTTTAAATAATCTTTAAAACCAATAATCTTACATACTCCACCTTTAAAGCTCTATGAGCTTCAATCTTTAATTCAACAGCAGAAAAAGTCTGACTCACCATATTAACGGGACTTCAGCTGGTTTTCTGACTCTGTAAGAAGAAAATACAAAGCAAATGTATATGATTGACATTTCTGTCAAGCATGATATGACATGATATGACCTTTCTGTGACATCATCCCAACACTGAATAATATAGGCCACATTTAATCCACATGCAATCCATCATCACTGGTCACGTACAGTATATCAGATTGTTAAAGACAAGTAAACAAAGAAAAATGAACAAAACCGAAGCTCATATAATGCCATAAACCATTAAAATTTTTTACTTAGTTCATCTCGCACTCATTCAAACCCACAAATATGTTTCTGTACATTTGTCTGCATAAAAGGGTGAAAAACTCCAAAGTCACACAACAGAATCCTTTGGAGAGTTCATGCTTCTCAGTCTGGTTGCTGCCAGGATGTGTCAGAGGTGTTCAAACAAAACATATTACTACCCTTTTGCACGACTTGAGAATCTAAATGTTTTCTAAACCTCTTGTCCGATCCCGAGCTGCAGAGGGGAATCTAACTGGAATCTATCAAGAAATCGGTACAGACAGAGAAAGCAGAGCAACCTCTCGATTCAAACCTAGAACGACAGTCTGTGAAGCAACAGTCCTAACCACTGCACGCCATCCTGACCGGACATGGTTTTAAAAACTGAAGGAACATCTGCAAAAAAAATATTGTGAAAGTCAAAACAGTTTCCCACTGTTTTGCTTTCCTGTTCAGTAACAAGTAGACTCTGACAATAATGACCTAAAACAGGCAAAACAAGCAGGCAAATAAGTTCTGGGCAGCATTTCTACACTGATGCAGCAGCTTTTGCACTAAGCGTAAAACAAATGTCACTTGGCTCTAGTGCAGTTTTAAAGACACCCAGAACGAGCTGTGGCCTGTGTGGCTGTAAATCTCGACACGTACAAGTCAGACGAGCACTTAGATCAGCTGAAATATTTCACTTCTCCACTTTTATCACTTGTTCGAGCAGTTTCACTGGAATCCTTTCAAATTAGAGATGAAACCAGGTAATCTCAGAGAATTTCAGCACATTCACAATGGAGTCAAACCTTCTCGACGAATACCTTACCGGTTGGACAGCACGGACGAGTTGTTTTTTCTCTTTGGTTTTATAACGTTGCTTTCTGTCCCCGTGCTCTTTGAACTGGTAGGTTATAATTAGCCAAGCAGCACAAGCAGGTTCACAAGTAGAAATAACTCCGCGCTCAGCTTCTCAACATTGCTGCAGCGGGGAGCCACAGGTGCCAAACTTTATACAAGACTTCCTATCTCCGTATTCACAGCCTGAGTTTATGTGTCTGAGCACAAGTTTGTTAGTACAAGTACATTAGAACAAGTAGCTCAGCCTCTGCTGCAACAACTGCAAAATAAATTCACATTCACAGTGTTTTGACAACACTTAAATATCCACTAGAGGACTCCGTTTGGATATTAAGCAAGAATCTGCCTGCTGCGCGCAGAATGAAAGTAGGCAGATTTCTGATGCAAGTGTCTGAGACGACCAGTAACCCAAACCATGTCTCTGACCACCCGTATAAGATTTCTCAGTCAGTGCTGAGCTCTATTTATAACACACAAACACACATAACAGACACACATGGAAACACTTGGTCTTTAAAAGTACCAGAAGGAGTGCGAGGACTTTCTCTCCTTTCAAACCTCAAACCCTCTTCGAATCTTACGCCACAGGATTCTGCTGATATCCTCTGATTGTCCATTTACATGCACTGGGCTCAGTCTGATTAACAGTTTCCTTTCTGTTCGCAGGGCAGACCTGCAGCTTCAGAGACCTGGCACCAGAGGATCTGAAAAAATGGTATGATTTCATTTTTGCAGTCGTCAGATCCCCCCAAAAATTTCAAAACGCTGTTGGTTGTTTTTCCTTCAGCAGCTTTACATTTGTCACATGAGGTGTGTTATGTTTGTCATCTCTCCATTGAACACATATGTTGTTTGCCGAAATCCTTTTTAAACCTGTCTTGTTATACATCTATTGTTTCTACTTTTAAAAATTGACAAAAGAAGCTGGCTTAGTAAGACCTCCTGAAAAATCAGTCTGGTCTCTCTTAGTTTTTCCAAATCAGAGTGATCGTTCTTGGGCATCCAACATGCAAAAGCATGTCCAGTATGATTGTGCAACAGCACAGATTTTTCTATGATATCACTTCGTAGCTCAAGACGGGATAGTCAGTCAATGTAGCAGCCAACACGATGTGCAGAAAGAAAGTCAGGTTAGAAACAGAACGTGCGACATTGACTCCTTCTTCACCTAATTCTTCTACATATTTCAGCTTTAATGAGTTGTGTTTTAATGTCTTGTGTTGCTTTTTGAGTAAGTCATCATTCTTACACGGCTGGCTCCTCCTGTTTATTTTCTCATTCAAATCAGAGTCACCGTTCTCGGACCTCCAAGGTGCGCCACCACATCCACTGCGATTCCTGCTACAGCTGCCGCTGCAGGGCTCGGGTAGAGGCCTCTGTGTGCTGCGCAGTCATCCCCTGCCGTCTGCTCTGTGGCGCTCTCTTCCACCTGTGCAAAGAAGAGGATCACCTGCTGCTCTGCCCTAATGTGAGGGTGCCCTGCATCAACGCTGAGTACGGCTGCCCGATCCAATTGCCTCGCTCTTCACGGGCAGCTCACCTCCAGGTGTGCCCGGCCAGCGTGGTGTGCTGCTCCATGGAGTGGAACCGCTGGCCAGCCAATGATGCCCACTCCTTCCCAAACATGGAGCTGCATGAAAACCTGCTCAGAGAAAGAGCGCAGGGAAGGTGTCTGGACCTGGCCTTGGCTCTGAAAGACCAGGACCGCCTCTTTCACTCCATGAAGATGAAGAAACTGTTCCCAGAGCTGATCCAGTGTGTGGAGGAGGAGGAGAGGAAGGAAAGGAGGATGGAGGAGGAGAGAAGGAAGGAAAAGGAGAGGAAGAAAAAGGCCATGTTGGAGAAGGAGGCAGCAGAAAGGGCAGCTGCAAAACAAGCCAGTGAGCTCGCCTGGGCCTCTTTTAACACGTACAATTTGAATGATAATACCCCTGATGACAAAGAAGAAGAAGAAGAAGAAGATGAGGAGGAAGAGGTTCGGGTCGAATATGAGCAGGGGCTTACACAGGAAGAAAGAGAGGCTCTTGCAAGGGCATCAGGAATAGAGGCTGATCATCTTGAAAATTACAGCGCCTGGGAGCGAATGTTCAGCATGGAGATGGGTGGATGCAGGGAAACTGAGGGGACAGCTGTGGCAGGAAGGGGACGGGGACTGGCTAAAGGGAGGGGGAAAGGCTTGAGCACCGTTACGGAAGAAGATAAAGCAGATACCTGTGGAGGTGCAACATCATCAAACACCTGCAAACTGCTGCCCAGCACTCTGAACAAGAAGAAGTTTACATATGAGCGCCTGGAGCCAATGAAGATCATCACTGTGCGCACTTTCAAAGTCCCGACCAGCTTTTCTGCCAAGCAGAGCCGCATCCGCAACCCAGGTTTTTACAAAAGAGAGAGCAAAGCTGTGGATACCAGTGACCTGGGGGTGGCACTAGAGGCAATGCCAGTGTGGGAGGAAGTTCAGGTGAGGCAAAGAAATTGAACCTCCTTGTAGACTTTTTGTAAAATTGTCCTTTTAGACCTGTAAAGGCTTTAAAAAAGTCACTAAGGTACAGCAGAAACAAGCAGTGAACACAGCACTGATTCATTCAGATTCATTCATGCATTCAGGCCTATCAGCAGACAGCTGCTTATTGTTTTAAAGGTGTGTCTTAATGTTTTGCTTGATTGCTTACTTGCTTTTAGCTTTATAGTTTTCAGTCTCTATTGACCCCAGAGGAATATATGTTGCATTCTGTTTCACGAGATAGTTGCTAATGCTGTGCATTTTGTAGTTTTGTTAGAGAGGTGACCCATGAATTCAGAATGGCTGAAAAGCTCTGTAGACAAGTCCAGTAAAGGATTTCCACAGACTCAATACCTCCTTTTGCATTACTCATAATGATTTTAAGACTTTCCATGTGCATTAGTTCTTCCTGCGCTCCCATCCACAGTCCTAAGACGTGTATGTCAAAGAAAACATTATAAATGATTCAGCAACCTCATAGAGCTGAATCATTGTCCTGAATTGTAAGGTCACCTTACAACAAAATGCAACAATAATAATATTAAAAGAGATTTAAAAGCCAGGAATAATATGATTGTAAAACATATAAAGCATGATGGTTATAGCTGACACCCTGATGAAAACAGAGTCTAGCTGATGAAGGTGAATGGTAATAAGTTTGAAGCGAGAAGACAAAGTTACTGAAGTTCATTCAGGTCATTTACAAAAATGTATGTCTATTTTCATTTTTACTTTCTTCGGTAGGTTTTAGTGCTGGGACACATGCAAAAATTATAAAATAAACCACTTAAGTTGGTTATCTAAGAGGAGAGTGTGGCTTTGCTGCAGGACAATATCAGAAAGAACTGTTGTTTTTTTTTTGTTGTTGTTGTTGTTGTTTTTTAGGGCTTTTAATTTCTTTTTACATTTTATAAGCCGACAGTGTGAGTGAAAAAACTTCTTTCATGTTCTTGAGCAGGAATATATCTTTCTTGTACCTTCTTAGACTGTATTTTAAATCCTGGAGCATCACAAGCCAATGGAACAAAATGTGCAGAGAACAAATATTCATGTTTTCTCAAAGTACGGAGTAAACAAACAAGTGTTACTGTTTACTGATGACGTTTTCTGTCATATTTGTCATATGTTTAATAAATGAGAGTCGTTTTTGCTTTCGTTGTTGTTTAATGCTCACCAGCTACGAAGCTCCCCGATGAAATATTGCTCTGTTGTTTGATTGGCTGCTCAGGCCTCTCTGCTGTGCTCCCTGGAGAAGGAGCTGAGGGGTCACCTCATTGCAGAAAGCGTGTGCACAGACGGTCTGTTAACAGACGAAGGCACGCAGACCTACAGCTTTCTGTCGGCTCCTTTCCGGAGAAACACTTCGCTGGCCGACCTGACGGCTGTCAAACCGCTTGAGCTGCACCTTCAGCTGCAGGTGGAGAGCGTCACCAGCCGACATCACAAGGCCAGCTCTGCCTTCACCTTCCTCTGTGGACACACCTTCCAGCGCAGAGAATATGGCAAACATTACAAGTGAGTTATTTTTTCTTAAATATTTAGGTTTTGCATCGTTTAAAGAGATTAAGACCTGAACAAGAAATACACAAAGCAGTCACTGACTCAGAATGATGCTCTAAACCCCATCTGATACTGTGAGAGCAAAGTGATCTATTTCTAATAAAAAATGTTCTGTCGTGTGCAGGAACGTCCACAGTGATATCCAGATGTGTGTAAACGGATGGTTCGAGCAGAGATGCCCGCTCGCTTACTTGGGATGCAGCTACAGCCAGAGGAGATTTCAGCCCTCCACACACGAAGCCACCATCAGCTACAAGTGAGAGAAATCACAGAGTTCATCGAAATGTAAACAAATTTAACTGTGAGCTGAAGCGTGTTAGAGGGGTACAGGGTACACATTCTAACTGCACTGTGTCCCAGTTACATTTCTAATTCACTTTCTGAGCTTTATAAACAATAAAAAAAAAATCAATTCAGAGTTGTGTAGAAAATAAAAAAGCTCTTTATACAGCATGTGATAAAGAAAGTTTACACAGGAGTGCATAGACTCCTGTGTAAACTTTAGTGCTGGGCAGAGAGTAACTGCAATAATCTGAAAAACATTTGCAAGCAACAGTGAAGTACATTTACTAATTACGTCCTTTGTACAGATGAGACCACAGTGGAGGTTTGGCAGAAACTAAGCAACATGTGAGCACAAACACCTCAAACTAACTTTAAAGCACGGTGGTGGAAGAGTGATGGTTTGCGCTTATTTTGTAGCCAAATGACCTGAGTGCACTGCAGCCACTGACTTGAACAAACAAAACCATATCAAAGTATTCAAGAGTCAAATGTGAGCCTGGGTCATGCAACAGGGCAATGATCTCAAGTACAGGGAAAGAAAGTACTTTTGCAATGACCCCGTCCAAAAACTGATTCAAATGCTGTAGTGGGAACTTAAGAGAGCCGTGCATAACCGTGCGCCCACAAACCTCCATGACACAACATTGTAAACAAGAGTGGGCAAAGATTCCTGCACAGTGATATCAAAGTTTCATAAAGTCTTGCAGAAAATGATTACTTCACGTTATTGCTGCTAAAGATGCTTCTGAATCTGAGCTGCTGAATTGTGGCGCGTGTAGATTTTTTTTTCCACACTTCTCGTTATGTCAAAGTGAATCGTGTAAATCTGCAACAACTATTTGTAACCACTTGAGGGCAGCAGAAACACACTATCAAACTGACTAGTTAAACATTTTGCACATAGTTATCTGTTCACATATCCTGCAGATGCAGAACACATCTGTCATGTTTTGGCCTCCTTGAGTAATATTTTCTCCTTTTTGGATGTTTGTAGCTTCTACAAGCACACAAATACACTATCTGTAAGTTTAGCTCTTAATGCTTCACTCTTATATTTCATTGCTTGCAAGGTGTCCCTGATTTTGGTTTTGGGCTGTAAAATTGAAAGCATCAAACTGAACAACGCTTCAGAACTTCAGTTAATCTTTTATTTCATCACAAGTCACACTTTTAACATCACACTGTTGTGAAAATAACAAATATGATGCATAAATTAACCTTAAAGCTACTATAACTTTTATTTTAACAATCTATAACTCAGATCAGAGTCAAAGCATTTTAATCCTCTGCAAATAAAAATCCAATACTCTTTCAAAGACCACAGTTTCGTCTGTACTTTCAGCGATGATCTAGGCTGCTTCAGCCTGATTCCCACCACCTCTGTTTGCCTGGGTGACACTTCCCAGACATCCAGGAGCACGGATGCCTCCACCAGCTTTGCTTGGAGGAAGAGAGGCAGTCGAGCGGGAGGAGCGGACGACTCGCTGACCTCTCTTCCCTACGAAGTGCTGTGCCACGTGGCCAGTTTCCTGGACAGCTTTTCCCTGTCCCAGCTGGCTATGGTGTCCCACCTCATGAGGCAGGTGTGCTCCTCTCAGCTGCAGGAGAGAGGGATGGTCACCCTCCGCTGGGAGAGGAAGACCTACTCTCATGGAGGAGCCAAGTGGAGGGTGAAGCAGAGGGTAAGATTGGAGCCACGCTAACAGGACTCACAGTAGACATAATGCGAGATATTTCATGTTTATCAGAATCAGAAAGACTTTATTTATCCCCAAGGGGCAATTAAGATTAGAAGTAAATATTAGAAATAAAGGCAAGAATACAGCATAAAAGAAGGAAGATATGAGGGACGAGTGCAAGTTTGGCTTTGAGCTGGAGGCACAAGAAACCAGATGATTGTTGATCTTGTTGTCATCATGTAGCAGGGTTGATAGTAATCAAGTGATGCTACATTTAGTTTAGAAAACACAACGCTGACGTTTCTTACCAGGCTGTTTAATTGTTGAAGGCCAAAGAAGTAATCGCATGCAACATTTCACAGCAAAAAGTCAGTGAATGAATGCAATTTAACATCTTTGTAATCATGAGTCTTTTTTTCTGACTTCATGAATCACATAATTCATGCTGTGACCACTTGGAGCAGATTATATTAGAAATATTGACTTCACCCTAAAGAGCACCCTTATCTAAATATAATTGAAGCAACTTCAGAATAAATAAAAATGACAGATTGAATGGTTACCCAGTTTGAAAAAGCAGAGGCCTGCAAATCACCTCATTTTTTAGACTACTGTAATAGTGACCATTCTGGACAATCAAAGCACTGAAAGATTTAATGTGAAATAAAATGTGAGATATCCCACTTTTGCAGTCAGGACCTTATATTTAGTTGCATCTCCATCGCTGTTCATCACTGCAGGTCTGGCAGTTCAGTACCTTGTTCTCTCCGGTGGATACGTGGTGCTTTCAGGATGTGCCGCCTATCTCAGAGCATCTAAAGGTGTGTCATTATTATGAGAGGGAGTCCAGGACGGAGAAGATTTACCTGCCACGCATGCGAGAAGAAATCCAGCCCAACACAAGCTGCAAACCTCCCACTCTGGTTACCATGTTCCAGCAGAAGAGAATCATGATGTAGTTCACTGTAAACTGGTCTGGTTTGGGGTTTTATTGCATGTTAACTTCTTTTCCCCCTCCTTCTATTCCTATATCTCCTGCCACTGCAGTTCACTTTAAAATTACAGGAGAAAAATCACAATAAATATAAAATTAATGCTTACAGAGATAAGTTTTGGGGTCACATGTTGAACTGAATCTTAGAAACTACATATATTTAAAAATGATGTCAGAAGAGCACTGAAGTTCATTTTAATTATAAATAAATAAATCAAGCTACAGATATCTGCTGTTTTTATTCACACGTTTCTTTTTCACAGATGCTTTGCAAATGGTTATAAACTGAAATGAGAGGGATTTCATGACTAAATAGTATCACCAAACACTTTATCTTATGCATCCACATTTTATTTTATTTTATTTTGTGTTACGCCTGTAAACAAAACATATTTGCTTAGAAAATGAATTGCAAGTGCAGCGTTAACCACGTGATGAGGTAGAAAACGGATTCAAGTCACTTGTGCAGGAGTAACATAGCTCTGCTTTCCCCTAGTGGTTCTCAGTGGCATTGCGCATGTTTTTGAGGATATCCGCTTTAAACATTTTATAAAACATCGCCACGTTCATGGTGGAGATGAGACTCAGGCCGGCGGCCCCCATCATCAGGACATAACGAGGAATGTGTTCACTGTGACGGGCCAGCCAGCGGCTCATCCAGCCCAGCGTGCAGGCACGAAACACCAGAAACCTGCAGATGAAACAGAAGAAACAAGCTGACAGATACCAGTCTACACTAAAGTCACCATGCAAGGCCCAGATAGTGAAAGCTTGGGATTCAGTATCTTGCACAGTATCTGAGATATTGATGTGGGAGCAGCTGGGATAAAACTGGCACATCTGTGATTATTGGACAACAGTTTCAGGCAGATAAACACAAAACAGGCCTTTCAGGAAACAGATTAAAGAAGTAAAAGTAGAGCGCAGATGGTTTCCTGGAGGCCTCACAACTTTAAGCTCAACAATTCTGGTTACACAACCAATTATTAGGTTTCGGGGGAATTAGCTTTTTCCTCTCCTTAATAAATGAAGCCATCATTAAAAAAAATTAACGAGGCTTTACTCAGGCTAAGTTTGCATAATATTAACATTTATTTGATGTAACATATTCAAAAATGCTTTTAAAAAGGTGCTTTATGATCTTTTCCCACCTCGCATAAAAAGATCATTTCTTCCTGCTAAAAAGAATTCCTGAACCACCTACGTTCCCACGTTGAGCCAGCTGGTGATGCTGTAGGCGAGAGAGGGCTGAGGGGCGGTGAGTTCAGTGCCTGGCTTGTTCCTCCGTCCTGAGAGGATGAGGAGCTGTCTGAGATGAAGGAAAACAGAGTTGATCTCTACCAGCAGAGACACCGCTGCAAAACCCAGATAGAGGCGGGACGTCACAGCCAAACCGAAGCATGAGATCACCTGAGAGAAATGTTAAAACAGCACATGCAAAGAGACAGCAATACAACACTTTATTTACACGTTAATCATGCAAAAATCATAAGTTTTAATCATGGAAAATGTGAATTAGCTAATTTCAGACCACCCAGAAATGAATGTCAGTAAGTGATATATAGAAACCTGCTGGACCATGATTATTAAAGGCTTTATAGCCTTTAATAATTATGAATTTTTATGAATGAATTTTTACACACCATCATTAGTATTTGGAGGATGAATTTCAGGTTGTCAAGCTCCACACGTCCCCTGAGATCAGCTGATCTGTGCCAGCACACACCAGCTGATGGCTCTGCTGATTGATCTCATAATTATCAGTTTTATATTGGCTGTTATTGATGCGTGCTGAGAGGCGACGCTGCTGCCCTCCCACTATTGAAAATAATACCGCAGGAAATAACAGAATGACAACAGAAGAGAGTTTAAAATGTTAATAAATCGCTGTAAATAAAGTTTGGTAAAAGAGTTATGTAACTAAACATTCTGTGAGATTTTTTTTTTTTGCATGAATTTAATGAATTAAGTATCTGGATAAATTAAAAACAAGCCAAACTTGATGAAGGAGAATATACTGTTGGGTAACCTCAGGAATGTGGTGACCCACTCTGAGAAAACTGGACGCAAACATATAAAACTTGAACCTTGAACTTTGATCAGAAAGGCTTGTGCAGGATTAACTGTTCGCCACGTAAAAATAAATAACTCGCTGTGTCTTTGGATAAAGTAGAACCTGCATAGAGATACTTAGCAGCACAGTCAGGAGCAAACGCACCATGACACAACATGTGCTGCCTGAAAGCAGGTCTGCTGTATGCGCTGACAGTAAAATCACAGCATAGAGCAGCACGACTGAGGTTTCGCTCACTGACCTCGTCGTTATCACCCGGATATGGGATGAGTGCTATCACCAGACTGACTCAACTTTGTGCTTGTGTTCTTAGATTACACACTCAGGAGATGAAACAGTACTCAGATCCCGTATTTTAAATGGATGACAGAAATTAAGCTTATGTGAAAGTTCAATAAGGAGGATCTGTAATCACTCATCTGCCTGCTTTCCTGGCTCTTCGGCTGCTAGTCTGTTCATTTCATTACTGCCACTTTCCCCTGCTGTCAATCTCAATACTGACATCGTTATATTCTTCATTACTACTTTCTTCTTGCCTGGCTTCTTTGAGGCGATCAGCCTCCACTCTGCGTTGTTTAAATCTGTGATCTCTTTTCAGACTCATCTCTCATCTTCACTTCACTGAACTCAGGTTTCATCTTCACCCCCACCAGCATCTCAACTCCGCAGGGTCTTGTCCAAAAAATCCTATCAAATCCTATCCTGTGAATAGCTGCATCACTCTACCTCCATATTCAAAAATGTAAAAAACAAAACAAAAAGCAGCTCATTATGATCTCTTATGAGGTCATAATTTTCACTTACATTTGTAAGGACAAGAGAGAAGTATCTTAAGTATCTTATTAACTGAGATAGATGGATTATTATTCCCTGTTTTTGTGTAAAATAAACTGATGTGTTCCCGTTACAAAAAGTGTATGTTGGTTCATGTTTTCACACTGTGTTAGCAAAAACACACCCAAGCATTAGACCCACAAAGGCCATTACCAAAGAGTGGTGGAGGAGTAGCTCCCAGGACTGTTTGAAGGGCTGGTTCAAGGCCATGTCTAGGAAGTCGTGGATAAAATACCCTGGAGGAGAGGTAGAAATATGCGTGCAGGCTAATGTATTTAAACAATGCTAAAGTATTAAACTGCTATCAAGTTATTTTTTGAAATTCAATGTATACACATTTGCATGTGTGTGTGTGTGCGTGTGTTTGTGTGGGCATCACCTGTGGATAAAGACTGTGGGAGTGCAGGGAGCAAAAGGAGATCAGGTCCTCCATCATCTGAGGGTGACGGTAAAAGCTGCAGGGCGAGAGAGCCCACAGGAAGAGTGAATATCACACGAGTAGAAAACAAACGTCCACACTACCCTGACTGCTGCGCGCCTCTACGAACCATAAAACAGCCCCCGCTCCTGTCAGGCAGCTGTGAGCTAACGACGTGCTGACATTCCTCCATTTCCAGGCTTTCCTCTGTGCCGGCTGCGGTGTTGGCAGGACTCTGATGACTGCATTGAGCAGTTTGAAAGAGCCGGCAGAGCCTCCAGTGAGAAGAAGTGTTGATTTCAAATCCATAACAATAGTTGAGCGGAGTTCACCTCACGCATGTCCAGTGCATACCTCAGTGGAAACACGCTTCATGAAAAGAGAGCATGAGACGCTTGTGTCACTGTGAGGTCACTGTTATATATCATATATTGTTTCTAGTCTCTGCACTCTAACGCACATCACGCACACCAAGTGATAAACTCATAGCTGATAGTAAAGGGCCGTGGACACATAATGGTACGATTGCCTCTCAAGGACAACAACCCTGGCTTTCATAACTCACTTTCGCTTCATCTTTATGACATCTTTTCAGCAGTACTGTTAGGTCTGCTGAACAGTTCAGCAGCTCTACTAGCCCCACACACATATGTACACACACGCCAAGTTTTCCAACAACTGTGATCTCAACAATGTTAAAAAAAGAAACGTTTTGTGAAAGCCGAGTTGATGGCAAACTTGATGTTTGCACCGGATGTTCTTAATGAAATTCCTTGTGGCACATATGGGCGAAAATCTGATAGACGTGCAGCCTCATGTGTGAATGTGACCACAGTGCCTGACTTCAGTGTTTCTGCTTTAGAGTGAATTATAACCACCTGTGGTTGAGTAAGTGTTGCTTTGTCGCCCCTCCATTCAGCGTTCAGCCTCGTCAGCCTTTCTCTGTGCTGCCGTTGTAAAAAAACAAAAGAGCAGGGTCTCCTTTCTCTGCGACAATACGGCGGCTGAACATGAGCCGCCACAGTGCCCAAACTCTCCGCTCACTGCCTCACCGAAGACACTTTCCAGGGTGATTAGAGTCAAATCATCTACTTTTCACTGGACCAACTGGGATGCAGGTTGGGGATGGACTGGTTCCCTTGGAAATGGACTCCCATTGTTCATCTGCTGAGAGGAAAGCAAAGTGACGCAGGACTCAAATTGTTTCCACCTGAGCGTCTGAATAACCTTTAATGTCCCTGGGGTTCGCCTTGGTGTCTGCGAGCTCTTACAGCTGAATCACAGAGATGTCGACCAAGCCGTGTGAGTAGCCTCAGCAGAGTGGTGTCTGAAAGTAAACTGATGATCATTCATTTGATGACTCATTTATTTATTTATAATGTGTTTGGGCAGCCCGCGGAGAGCTCACAGACTCTGATTCAGAGAACCCATCAGAGGAGCTGACAGAGGTGGTTTGTCTGGAGTCAGACCTGCAGGATGGACAGTAAGGAGGGGATGGGGAACCTGCAAACATATGCCTTTGTGTTTTAACCACATAAACAGTTATTGCTATAAATTTTAAACTGGTCTCAGTGTGACATCTAAAACACTTGAATGATTTATAGCAGGGATGTCAAACAAAAGGGACAGGGACCAGAAACGGCCCGGCAAAGAGTCCAATCTATTTCGTTTTTGTTGTTGTTTTTTGTCCTCACAAAAATGGTTAATTTCTGTGAATAAACCCTTTTTTCTATTATTACTGGTCAGTCTGAGAAATTAGACTTTTTTTTTGTTATTTTCCACATTTATTTCTTACAATTTAAGCTCAAAGAGTCTTGCTCAGAGATTTCTTTCTTTGCTAAAGCAACATTTCTTGGCCTCTCTTTTTCTTAAATTAAGACATCTCATAACCTTCTTTTCTTTGACAGAAAGGGGAATTTTCCTTGGGGCTGAGCTGTATGTACCTCACAGTGTAAAACGCATTTGACCACAAAACCCCCTTTATTTAGATTATTTAGACACTCTGTGGGGTCTAAATGACAGTGGGGGTCCCAGTAGATGAAAGCTCCGGAGTGAATATATGTCTGTGCCATCTGGTCAAAACTGTAGATCAGACAGTGAATACCAGCCTCATAAACACGAGCCAGAGACACTGGGGCTATTGAACCTGTCTAAAACCCAACAATACTACGACAGTTTTAGTGAAAATACTACCAGGAGGCCTTGTCATTGATTGTACCCCGTCAAAAACTCCCCAAGGTTGCAGTTTTATCAAAAAATACAGCCTCTGCGGGAACAGGGGAGGGGTAAGGCATCAACAAAGTGAGTACAGTTTATAAGGAGGATAACACGACCACCTTGTCTCTGGCTGAACTGAAGCTCTGGTTTTCAGACTTTTTCTGGCACACCACACTTCAGAATCAGCAAAAGGTTGATGGCCCACAGACTACAGTTTTCATCGGGCACTTTTTTTTTAAAAATAAAAAAGCCCAAAGTATTCAAAAAATATTTATGCCCAAAATGGTAACTTTATGTAATTTGATTACATGTAAATTTTTGTGCATAATTTTGTTGTATAAATTCAATCTAAAACATTACATTTAATCTAATCTGGTCAACTAACTTACTTGATAGGTGTGCATTCAGTTTATATCCATTAATGATGAATTATTTTAATACATAAACCTTTGATTTTATACATTTCAGGTGCATTTTACTTAAAAAAATATTTTTTTCAGTCCAGATAAAGCCATCCCTGCAGACACGACGCTTCCACGGCTGGAGGAAAAGACCAAGTTGAAGTGTTAAACAAGCTTAGATGTACAAACAATGAAATTTATCTTATTCTAAAAAATTAAAAACCTCTCTCTCTCTGTGTGTGTGTGTGTGTGTGTGTGTCTGTCTGTTATCTCAGGATGATGGAAGTTGAAGTCGGACATCACGGTGTGCTGCTGACGCGCAGTGGGGGTAAATACAGCGCCATTGGGAACCAGTGTACACACTACGGCGCTCCACTTAGCAAAGGTATGAAGACAGGAAGTCTGAAGAGGAATTTCTGTGACATAGATGTATTTCAGTCTTGAGTCAAGTCTGGGTGCTTGTGTGGGCAGAAAAGTGTCATTTAAGGAAATTTATCTTGTCTGTGCACACTGTAAGGTATCAGACTGGTCTGAGCTTCATATGTGTTTCTTATGTTTTAATAATTTGTCTTCATCTTGTATTTTTCTTGTGCGCATCTTTGTGTGTTCAGGTTTTATTTCGGGGAACAGAGTGCGCTGCCCGTGGCACGGCTCCTGTTTCAATGTCCACACAGGCGATCTCGAGGAATACCCCGGCATCGACTGTCTACCTTGCCACAAAGTATGAACCGGAGAGACAGATTGATACAAAGCTTATGAGCACATTTGCTGTTGTTTAAATGTTTTTATTTTCTCTTTTGAAGGTCCATATTCAAAACAGCAAAGTGTATGTGTCCATAAATAAAAAGGTAAGTAGGTTACCTTTTCTGTTTTAGTAATATGAGGCCATTTTAATCTCCTGGTATCGATCTCTTCAGCGAGGAAAGAAGACCATACACAACTAATTCTGAAAACCACTGAACACAGCTCCCCGCTGCATTCATGAACACTAGTTAAAACCCAGCTACAGGAAAGAGAGGCTGAAATTATTGCCAGGGAGTAACTGTTGGAGGGAGAACCTGGATTTTTATGGTGGAGGCGATAAACACCAGTTGATGACCTGACTTCAACATAGCAGACTCCTGGTACTTCTGCAACCCAAATCTGTGACCCACTGAAACAGTTAGCACATTACAAAACTTAACAAAAGAGGACCTTTGCAGTTGAAAACACAGATTAATCAAAAATGGGGAGCATATTGCTTTAAAAACTAAAACAGTTGGGCCCCAAACACTTATCATTTTGTTGTTTTTAAAAAAAATAGGATGCTACAGAGTGGAATTTCCCTGCTTTTCTTAAGTGTGACGTGTCAATAAATTCATACTGAGCACATTTTCCCCTTAAAAATCATTAAAATATCAAGTTTTATCTTTTTAGTTCATCACTGACACAAACTCTTATGCTTTATTTTGATTCACATTTTTGTAAACTGGTTTGTAGCTGAAAGTTGCAGTGAACAAATGCACTGAAGGGCTGTCTCATGTGACTGGCTGATTTGATTTGAACCTAAGAAAGCAACTGAAATAATTTTCTGTTTGTAAATATCACTGTTGGTACCTACTGATGACCTGACCACGTGTTTGATCCATGATTCAGACTCTCAGGCAGGAGAAAAGGATAAAGCGTATGGGCACTGCAGTCCCAGGAGTTACTCACACTGTTCTGCTGCTGGGAGGAGGTGAGTGTGGACCAATATGTGTGTGTGGTTGTGTGGCTTCAATAGGGCACTTAACTGGCATCTTCCACCATGTCCTCTCAACAAATAAGTAAATGTAACAATTTTGCCTTGGGATTTGAGTAAATGTGTCAGGAAAATGAGCCGCTTCTCTGATCCTGCAAAAAAAGTATATGTATGCTGTACATGGATACGTGCAGGTATTAGACTGCGTTGCCTCTGATTTGCTTCCTTTGCGTGTGTGTGTGTGTTGTTTTGTGTAAGTGTAGGAGCCGCTTCACTCAGTTGTGCTGAGACGCTGCGGCAGGAAAACTTTGGTGGCAGGATCATCATGGTGACCAGAGAAGACCTCCTACCTTACGACAAAACACGTCTGAGCAAGGTTCAGCACAGCGAATAACTCGACACAAACACATGAAAGTCTCTATGAATTTTCTTCACTTCACTGGAGTTTCGCTGATTTCACAGGTGATGAACGTGGAGAGCGACAGCATCCTGATGAGGAGGATGGAGTTTTTCCATCAGTATGACATAGAGGTGTGGCTCAGGAAAGAAGTGAGTACTTCCTGTATGACAACATCCTGCATGTGCTTGCATCTGTGTTTTATCTCATAGACATTGTGACCTTGAGGTAAATCTTCATCCGGACAGCAACACATGTGGGAATGACTTGCTATCTATGTGATTGAGTCATGCTTTGAAACTGGTTGCTGATGTGTTTGCAGGCGCTTTCCGTGGACACAGACAAGAAGACGGTCACATTTGATGATGGTTCAGTCCAGAGCTACGACCAACTCCTCATTTCAACTGGCTGCAGGTACAGACAACCTCACAAATATGTGTACAAACACATACTTGGCTCCAGCACAAACACCTTCTCTGGCCTCAGGCAGGCATCAATTATTCCCCAACTAAAATATTATTGTTAGTGTCCTCTCAGTTTTATTATATATTTTTAAGTCTGCACATTTGATGGAAAAGTTTAAATAAGAAAAATATTATAATTCACTTTTACGATAAAACTAAGGAGACTTTATTAAGCTGAGTCTCAGAGTAACACCACCTTTTCTGAAAAAGCTGGGTTGCTGCATAAAAGGTACCTAAAACAGCATGCAGAGGTCGGCAAATCTCATAAACCCACAGTAGAAGATAGAAAACACATCAAAAGTTTAAAACGAGAAAATTTACCGCTTTGAGATATAATTAGTCGTTTCAAAAAATCTGTGAAAGGATCATGGAGCATCCACTTTACTTTACAACAGAGTGAGTTGCTTCTGATCCCTGTCCTTTAGAGCAAAGGGTCTGGATGTTCCTGGCATGAACTTGGGGAATATCAAGATGTTGGAGACGCCAGAGGACGCCCGGCAAATCCACGCAGCCTGTACGGGCTCCGATGTTGTCCTCGTGGGAACCTCATTTGTTGGTACTGATTACTATGGTTTAGAGCTGGGCGATAGAACGATAACTATATGTATTGCGAAATAACTTTTTCTCGATAGAAAAGTTAAACTATTGTGATAGGCCTCATCTCTCTTGTCCTCTTAAAAAAAAAAGAGGAACAGCCAATCCAAATTAACTAGCGCAGAGCCGAACCAATCACAGCCGCAGCGTCACGTCACGTGACTTGTTACGTACAGCACAAGTGCCAAGCCGCACATGTGTATTTGTTTTGGAAAGCAGCCAGCTGCCGTGCCGCCCGGGTAATGGAGGAAATGAGTGTGCTGACTAGAGAAAAATCAACCGAGAGCGTGACCGAAGGTTACCGAAGAGAAAACAGATGATGGTTCCAATGCAGGTGTTCTGGGAATCCATCCTACCTGACAAACCATCCTACCTGTTGTTTCTACGCATGCGCACAACACGAAATTCAGTGGCGTCCTACCTTTGTGAATATAAGCTAGAAGCATAATTTTACAGCTAGAATTCAGTGGCAAATCATCTTACCTTTGTTAATAAGAGCTAGAAACATACTCTGACGGGTATAAATACGTGTCAAACCATGCTACCTTTCTGAATGTGACCTACAAGCATACTTTAATGGGTAAAATGAAGTGGCAAACCATCCTGGCTTTATGAATGTGAGCTACAAGCATACTCTGATAGGCAAAGTTAAGTGGCAAACTGTCATACCTACTTACATTTGTGCTGGAATTACTATGACAGCAGAAATGTGCATAAACTACTTACGGTAGGACGTTTTGCCAAAGTAGGACGTTTTGTCAGAACACCGGAGAGATTGTTGTACGGAAGAGCCATAGAAGTTCCGTAGTGTGACGGTATTTCGGCTATTTCAAGTCTGACAAAAAACAGAGTAGCGCGCACTGTAAATTGTGCCGAAAGCAAGTCTGGAAATACAATAAACTGGTGCATGCTCAATCTCTGACTGGAAGCTCTAATTCGTCATTCGGCTTTTGTCAGACTAAAGTAACTGTTAAAACTGTTTGAAAAGCTCAGCTATACAACAAGGAGAGATTGAGAATTTCCTTTTAGTTCTCAGTTTATTTGATATTGACAAAAGTTGGTCAGTTTTGTCTGTTCTTCTGTAAAACAAACTAAGATTTATTTTTAGAATTAATATTTTGTTTCTAAGTGGAATTGACAATTTAGTCTGTTTCGTTTGTTCTATTTTGAAACTTAAACGCTTTAGCGGCTGCCTTTTGTGTAGTTTGCAATATTTGCCTTTATTTATCTGAAAAAGTCTCATGTTCCTTAAGTACATCTACCCTGTTGAACTTACTATGGGAAATAAATATTTAAATCAAAACAAGCTGCTGATTATTTCACATTTTACTTGTGAGCAACGGCACATTTAAATCTTACAAATATAGTTATTTGGCTTATATCGTGATATATATCGTTATCGCCTGAAATGAAAAAAACATATCGTGATATGAAAAAATCTTATATCGCCCAGCTCTACTATAGTTACTATGTGCACATTTGTATTGCCTGGATTTGTGTAGAAAACAAAGCTAGTGGAATTATATGCTTTAACTGTGAAAACTTCCTTTTTTCCTTTCTTCCCTATTTTTATATAGACCCAAAAGCCTACAAAAGAGAGGAAAAAAAAAAATTTAGTTTACAGCATCAACATCTTTTAGCTTTATTTTTCTCTTTTTTTCTTTGTCTTTTTGTTCGCATCATATGTCAAATATTAAGTAAAATATATTATTCACACTGATATTCGCTCCAGCACCTACAATTACATGTTGCTTTCAGGCATGGAGGTGGCATCTTACTTGACAGACAAAGCCTCCAGTATCACAGTGATAGGCAGCAGTGAAATGCCGTACCAAAATACATTAGGTCCTGAAATCGGCAAACTCACCATGACGGTAAGAAAGATGAAGAGATTGAGATGTACGTGTTATTCCCTGACAGTAGTTCATCTCCAGCTTACCTGTTTGTTGTTCACTCTTGTTTCTGTAGATGCTGATTGAGAGAAATGTGAAATTCTACATGAATGATAGCGTGACAGAGATCCGAGGTGTGAATGGCAAGGTAAAGTGAGGAGATAAACTTCATTCCAGTGTCACGATTTGCACTGGCAGAACATGTGGATGGAGAAAGAGGACCCAAATGCAGACACTTGGAACAAAACTATAATATAACAAAAGGCGAGCCGTTTATTTGAGGTTGGGAAAAGGTACAAAACAAAAGGCAGATGCACACTGAGGCGAAACTAGAACTAAACTGGGAAAAACTAAATGCTAAACACAACAGACAAAGAACAAAACCTTGAACATGACAAAAACCTGGAAACATGGAGGCATGACGAGAACTCAACAGATGACCTGACAAGGAATCAATGAAAACACACAAAATGCACACTGGAGGTGATCAGGGGAAGTGGAAACACATGGGTGACAGCTGATTAGAATAAACATATTGATGCCACAGGGGAAGTGAAACTAAACACAACGAACACGGGACACCAAACCTCTTCAAAATAAAACGAGAAACATAATGAGATGCAGACATGAAACGCATGAAGAGCGACGGAAACTTAAACAGAGGCATGAAGACACAAGGGAAATCTAATAAACAATGAACTATAACAGGGCATCATAGGCAAAAAAGAAATGAACTTAGATAAGCTAATGAACTTAAACATAAACCATAAACATCAAAATATATTAAGACTCAAAAGGCTGGGTCAAATGGCCCAGGATTGTGACGCCTAGTTTTAGATAAGAATATCAGCAGTTTTATCTTCAGTAATGAAAAAAAAAATACTAACACTGAGTTCTTCCTGTCACATTCTGTTTTATTCCTCAAGGTGAAGGAGGTTGTGCTGAAAAGTGGAAAAGTTATCCCAGCTGAAGTTTTGATTGTAGGTATTGGTAAGTGGAAACATATCAGAGTCTTTTATGAGTCTTTTATTAAGCAACACAGAATTCTTGAAAGCTTTTATAATCAGAATCAGAATCAGAATCAGAATACTTTATTAATCCCGAAGGAATATATGTATATATTCACTTAAATTACTGTTGCCAGCATATTGTAAATATGTCTGATGTTAATGTTAAATGACTTGTTGAAATTGTATACAAATAACTGAGTGAAATGACCTGATTAACTGCTCCTATTTTTCCTCCATTAGGCACCATGCCGAACTCAGAGTACCTAAAGGACAGTAAAATACAGATGACCTCAAAAAACTTTGTAAAGGTCGACAAGGTCAGTGGTTCACCCGATTATCTACAGCACATAAGCCTGACTTGTACTTTTTCCCCAAACTTGTGCTTTGGAACATTGATCATCAGTTCTCTGTGTGTATCCCTCCTGCAGTACATGCACACCAATGTCCCCGATGTCTTCTGTGGTGGTGATCTGGCCATGTTCCCACTGGCCATTGCTAAAAACAGGATGATTAACATTGGACACTGGCAGATGGCACAAGCACAGGGTGAAGCAGGAAACATATAGACTTAACTGGAAAGTTTCACAAAGAGACTTTGATGCACAAAATCAATGTTTGACATTTACCATGGGAAGCACAAAAGCTGTTAAAATGTCATCTATGGGAAGCGGGACTAAATTCACGAGAATTCTGGGTCAATTTATATTACTTAAAGCTCCAAAACTGACATCAACACTGTCAACCTTACCTTTGCTCTCTCCTTCAGGCTGGAGTGTTTACTAAGCATTCTGATGAATACAAACAATAACAAATTAAATATCAATTTGCATATATACATTTTAATTTGTATAATTTTTGCTATTGCTTAAAAATTTATGGTGCTATTGATTCATGGTCTCAAAAACTCATGTATAAAATATGATACACTGGGTGTTACAGGGTAAAATCCCATATATGTCATTTACATGTTAAACTTTTTTGTGTGTGTGTTAAGGGAGAATAGTAGCTCTGAACATGCTAAACAAAACAACTGAACTGAACTCAGTCCCTTTCTACTGGACTGTCCTTGTGGGTAAGACCATCCGATACACAGGTGGGTATACACACACACGTAAATATTTACTGGCACACAAAAAATCAGGTGTCTTATTATCATTATTCATGTGAAGTTATTACATCTTTCTTTTCAGTCTTTGCCATCCAAACTGTTTATTTTACTGCCTGAAAACACTGTAGATAAACCCTCTGTGATAGATTTCATATGTTTCTGCATGCCATTGTTGAATGTTTGCTTTGGCTGTGTGCAGGCTATGGGGAGGGATACACTGAGCTCGTGATAAAAGGACAGTTTGAGGACAGGAAGTTCCTCGCATTGTACATTAAGTAAGTTGTTGTTAAAACTGTATTCAACTGTGATAGAAAAAATGTAACCATTAAATAAATACCCAGATGTGTATGTTTGGAATGTTTTTTTCCCTGTAGGGATGAGGAGGTCATAGCAGCAGCTGGCCTGAACTTTGATCCAGCAGTGTCGGCAGTAGCTGAGAGACTCGCAACAGGAAAAGTCATCACAAAAGACGAGGCCCAGTATGTAAAATCGTTCAGTTTGTTTTACACTTTGTTTCTATATTCCCATCTTCTGATTATTTTAGTCAAACTGAATCTGAACAATATGACTCCAGAGAGACAATGTAGAGAGATTTATTTTTGTGAAAAATGAGCCATGTTTCTTACCTAGAGGTTGGTGGAGTCCAAAAAAAGATCTAACAGAGTTTCATTGTTTAAGTTAGACACCACAGGTGGTCAGGAACATGACTTCAAAGCTGTTTTGAGACATGATGTCCAGACATTGTTCGGATAATCAAGCCATTGCCTTGTTTCAAGCTGGCCTTTATTACACGTAGCATTCAAAAGAGATTCAGACAAGTTCTAACTAAACAAATACTTTTGTCTCTGGTGATGCCTGGGATCTGGGTAGAACATGAATGCTTCTCACATGGGCTCAATCAAACTTTTCATAGGCTTTGTAAAAATCTCAGATCACTAAAATTTGAAAACAGTTTTTCATGGCATCATTAGAGACGTCCCTGCATAGGTCAGTGTCTTTTTTGCCCATGATATCATCTTGTTTTGAAACCAAACATGATGAATGAGGTGCATATCTGACTAAGAAATATGGAACACACTTGTTAGCTAGGAGCATCTTAATTTCAAAATACAGCATATCCTGTTTAACACTCAGAAAAAATGTTTCCTGAGACCCTGCTACTTCTAGCAGCAGTCACATCATCAATAAACAGATGATCTGGCAGCCATACATGCCCATGCCCTAACGCTGTCACCATGTTTCAAGTTAATCTTGGTTTCATCTGTCCAAACATTATATTAGAGCTGCATCTTCTCTTTGCATGTTTTCTGGTAAAGTCTGATCTGACCTGCTTGTTGCAAACGCGCTGTGTTTCCATTCTTGAAGGCATCTCTTGATTGTTGACCATAACAATGATACCTCCTGAAGAGTATTCTTGACTTTTAAATGCTGAATGTTGTGAAGTTGCTTTACATAGCCTCCATCATCCTGCACTTACAGTTTTAAGAATGAGCTAGAATGGTCATTCAGCCACTCCTAATTTTTTTTGGTTTTTCAATCTAATGATGACTCACTCGCTCACTTGCTTTGGTATCTCTCTGGACCTCATATTGGGACTTCCAGGAAGACGTTGTTTCTGCTTAATTTCTGAATGAATAGCAAGAGAACAGACCTTCAAGGTCATATAAGCACCTGACAGTCATCTGTCCAATTAACTTTCTGAAAAAAAGGGAGCTTTGTATAAAAAAGGTTTTAAAAATGGATGTATCTATTGCAATACTTTTGTTAAACATCTTGAATTAAAGCTGAAAGTCAGCACATCGCATGGTGATTGATTTAAAATTCACCGTGCTGGTGAATGGAGGCAGAATTACACAAGATAAGTGGAAATCTACATAAAAGCATTTTTTGAAATATTTTTTCTCTCTCTGACAGATCAGACGACCTGAGCTGGCTGCAGCTGTCCTGATATTCAGCTCCTTACACTCGTCTGTCCAATGTTCGTTCCTCCGTATGTCTCTTCTTCAGCACGGCTCACAAAAAGGACCAGGGGGAGTTTGGAAATGTGGATTGAAACTTTTCAGTCGGAAGAGACAAACTTCACTTGCGGAGGGAAGGAGCACCAAACACAGTGAAAGCTGCAGTAACAGCTCAGCATCTAATACGGGCTGTGTGGAAGTGCATACCATGCATTCAGTGCTCATGTGAGGGGGAGTCCAAATGTCAACAACAGATACCTCAAAAAGATGCAGCTTATAGGTCTTCTTTTTTAAATCTAATTTTTTTGTCATTAATTTAACAGATTTTTTATTTTATTTCATGGATTTATGTCTCCAGGAGTGTTTCAGTAACAGTCCAGAGACATCGCTGTTTAAGATGCCTCAGTATGTTCTCTGCTGTTAGTATTTAAAGCTCACTTTTACTTGGATGGGGCAGCTGGAAAAACATAAGTGACCTTAATGCCCACTACATCCGCGTTCGTGGTCCGGTCAGTGAGTTGGGGGGGGGATTAGGAAAACAGAGGCAGCAGTGTTCAGCTCTTTGAAACAGAGATGCTGAAACAGGCAATGGTAACAAAATACACCAACAGCAAACAATAGGCCTGCAGCAAACAACGAACAAAAGCACTGCACAACAGAAATGCTGCGTTTCTCTCTCTCCCCCCGCCTCAATCGCTCTGCTGCTATCTTTAATTCACACCTCAGCTTTTACTGTTCGCTCTCAGCAGGATGCCTCAGTTCACCCAGGACCTTTCAGGGCCAGATCCAGTTAGTAGTACCAGTAGTGATATTTTAGGTGGTAGTAGGTGGTAATGGCTTTTTTTTCTCTCTGTACTAATGTTGCCTGTCAAAGATTTAGTTTTTTTTTTCTTTGCAAAGGGCAGGCTAAACAGTTTTTTTTTATTAGCATTTGAATTGAAACTTGTTGCTTGCCATTTTAATAAAATTGAAGCTCTTATCTTATGTAAGAGAAATAAAAATTGGCTAATTGTGCAAACCTAAATACAATGAAAATCAAGCTCTGGTGATGCAGGGGGAAAATGGCTAATTTTACAGAGAATTATGGATAGAGCAGGTGTATTTCATTGCACAGGAGATGACTGACTCCTGTGATATTCAAGTTACCTCATTTCTGTATGTACAATGCATTTACAGTATAATGCTGTAAATTCACAGGAACCCAGTCACTCTGTAACAACGAGTAATCTATGATATCCTCGGTATAAGAACATTATTAGATTTGTTTTCTTGAGGTGACAAGAAGAAGACACATTGATGAGCATCATCAGCCCTCTTGTTAGTAACAGCGTTGTTATCATTTCAAAGTGATTCTTGATGCCAAGAGTAAGAATAAAAGTGAAGTACTTGTCATTTAAACATTTTTGTCTTGTTTTCAACTTTGAATTAAAAAAAAACTCAGGCATATCAGTTTGGTCTCTGTTGTATTTAGTGACTCATGAGAACATATGATTCACTCAGAGAGGGACTGTTCTGACATCTATTGTCCACCAGTGGTAGTGTTCCTACACAGAGTGGACAGAAACAGGAAGTAATCTGTCCCACTTCATAAATGTACACCTATAATTACACTTAATTCTTTATGCGATTTGAAGGACATTTAAGATGTTGTATGTTACTGCATTTGCTCATCAAACATCTTAGAGACAGTAAAAGATCTATAGCACAAAGAGCCTTAAGCTGCATCCACACATGAAGTGATTTCGAGTTATGTGGTGACCAGAAACCTTTGAAAGCCAATGAAACTTGGTAGCAATTGCAGGTTTTAAGAAACTTTGGCCCACTAGACAACTATAGAACTATAGAAATGTATGTTTTTTGTATGCTAAACGTCTTCACATTGACACAAAGGGGAGTGTCTGGCCCACTTATGGCCAAATTGGTTTGTATGTGATGCAACATGCAAAATCAGTTTGACATCCTTTCATTAGAGGATTGACATATGATAGGGTGGTAAATACATTATAGGGTTACCTAGGCAACCACAACCTGGAACGTCTACTAGTAGCCAAACATCTGTGTCAAAGTGATGCTTTACAGACAAACTGCTTCCTGTGTGGACGGGGAGACATCATACTATAATTAGTTTATGCATATGTATGGATGTATGTTTGCATGTTCCCTATTTCCTCCTGGGGGAGTGGAGCCATCTTGATGAAACTTTGCATAAACATTGCTTAGGGAACTGCGAGTGCCAGCATCTATTATGCATATACAAACATTTTCCAAAAATCACATATACTGTTAAGAAAAAATTTAATGAACACTTTATATTTAGACTACAGCATCAAGTCAAACTTCTAGAATATTGATCTGTTCAATTAAGTAATTGAAGGGGTTGTTAATATGTTTTAGCTGCTTTGACGAAATTAACAGCAGGTGGGACAACAATGAGACAAGCCCCAAAACAGGAATGATTTTACAGGTGGAAGCCACTAACATTTTTTTCCCTTCTCATCTTTTCTGATTTTTTTTCAGTAGTTTGGCATTCGCATAGCTCATATATGTATGTATATTTGTATGATCTTTATCTGCTGCATGTAGCGTGGTGATTTTCTTGTCTGCATAATTGTGGCTATAAAGTTCAAATGTGATAAACAGACACCCACTGCCATTTATCAGTAAGGGATTTAGTGTTACACAGTTAACAGTTTAGAGGAGCAACAAAGAGAAATAATGAGTTCAGGACTTTGCACATTAAATTGTTGCTCCATTGTGTCACCAACAAGCTTTTTACTGTGTTTACTGTATTGTGCTTAGACTGACAGCAGAGCAGCGCTTTGTTACAGTCACATTGCCACCCCCTCTCTGCTGGACATCTTTCTTTGTGGTTCTCATGCTGTAATGGATCAGCCCCCCTTCACTTCACTGACAGATGTGAGTTGGGTTCATGTTATGTGATCCCGACCGGGTTTTTGCCCTGAAAGATCAACTCAACTTCTTAAGGTGTGCTCAGCAGGAGGCGTTCTTGTCGTGAAAGCTGTGGCATTGTGGTTATGTACTTTGAACCTAAGCATTTCTGTTGGGGCGTTTTAAAGGGTGTTCAGCTGCTCAGTTTCTCTTTGGTCCAGTGTCTTAACAGCACCCTAGGATCTTTACTTTGTGTCTCACACTGCATAAATCTATTTTAAACTGTGAACAAATAAATCCCGAGGCCACTAACAGCATAAGGCTCTCTTTTGCTTCTTTAATTCAGTGTCTGCTCAGCTGCAGTAATGACGCAGCCTCCTGCTGGTCACATTTAGCTGGAACCTTTTTCTCTTTAGGAAAAGTCTGTCTTAAGGCGTCCTGGGTTTCTTTTAACAGAGCCTCTCTGTGTGCAATGTACCGCTGCCGCCTGTTGGCCCTGTACTGCTCCAGTCTCTTTGCCTCAGCCTGGGGATCCTGCAGCACTCCCTCCCACCTCAGGCTGAGAGTCTGAGCTGGGAGAGAGTGCTGCGGGACATTGAGCACTGTCACGTATCCCTGAGCAGTATCTCCGTTTCCATCGCTTTTATGGTTCTCTGTCAGCGTGGCTGGAGAGTCCTTGCGGTGATTTTTCCTCTTTCGTTCTCGTTTCTTCTTAGTGGAGGCTCTGATCTTGGGAACCTGGTCTTGGGACTGACCCGGACTCTGAGGAGGCACAAGGGCCAGCGGCAAGATGTCAGGAGGCAAAGATACAGCCAGAAGTTTCTCTGTAGGGAAGCATTATAAACATGTAGGGAAACTAGCAAACAAAACTGAGGCTTCCTATTACTAATGACTTCCTATGGAGATTAAGGACTTTTGGCTTGGGTTACAGTAGAGAGCTATGATAGGTTAATGAGGAGGCACGGGGTCGATTCTCTAACGACCTATTCAAGTGATTTGAGGGATGAAACATGAGGGTCAGATGTTTTTCCATGCCTTTTCTTTTTTTTTTCTCTGTAGCATGACCAATAATAAATCAATGCTGTGCTGTGAGAGTTTCAAGAGCTTTTTATTAGGTCACAGTTTATCATTTCAGAATGGTTTCTGTACTAGCTGGTAGCATGGACTCCATCAGAAACATACATTTCACGGTCTGCTTCTAATATCCTTTCAATAACAAAAAATGTGGCACTGTAATTTAATTTCCTCTCCTCTAACGTGCCCTCGAGGCACAAATCTAATTTTCAGTGCTTTTCAGCACGAGGACTTCATTTTTCTAGATTTTGAGGTTGTCTTTGATTCAGAGATAGGCAGGTAGATCCATCACATATTCTTTTCATAAACTTTCAGTGTAGTGATTTTACTAGTTAAGGGAAAACACATAATATTATATATGAATCAGAACTTGAGTTCCACTGATAAAAAAAAGAGAATAAAATACCTGCATTTTCACAGTTGGAAACAATGCTTTTGTTTCTTTTCTTCTTTGTCTGCATACTGGTGTCTCAGTGCCGATGAGTAGGTCTGCTCACGCCAAACCAACTGATGAACAGGATAAAATTCTTCTTAGATTATTCTTCTTACTCACTGCAGGCAAGAAACCTCGGTGGAAACAAGTAGCCTGTCAGCAGCTGCCCTTCAATCTTATTTATTTAAAACAAATACGTTTTCTACAAACGGGGGGAGATGGACTAAGTACTGCGAGCTGCAGAGCTACCTTTTGTGCCTCACAATCACGCTACACCGCCAAGTTGCCAAGTGACGCCTCTCCATGGCAACAGGACACACCTTCCCAGAGAAGAATGTCTTCGGGTCTCGTCGACACGTCAAACGAAGTAAGCCGAATTCGAGCTGCACTGTTCGTCTTTGCTCTGTGATCCTGACCGTGCTGCCAGCTGCCAGTGAATCAATCACTTTGACAATGAAGACATTTTAGAAACAGAAGGATGAACCTCATAGACTTTATTTGTTTAGCTGTTTTTATCTGACGCATTAAGTTTGCTGTTGATTTGGGAACCACGAGAAAGTTGATGGGAATCACGGGAAATCATGAGAAAGTTGAAATTGAAAACAAGTCTTATTTTTGTCTTCTGGGGAATACAGTGACTTGCATGAAGCGCGAATAGGAAACCAGTGACAGACAGGTATTCTGTATTTGAAATCGGTACGTTACACACATCATGAATAATGTGATTGTTGCCCAGGGTTAAAGCAGTTGACCCCGACGTGATTTGAACACGCAACCTTCTGATCTGGAGTCAGACGCGCTACCGTTGCGCCACGAGGTCTGTACTGTGCAACAAACAGGTTAAAAAAAATAAAACACTGAAAGAGCTACGAGCCTCTGGGCAGTGACATAATCTTTAAAAAATAGTTTCTATT